ATTTTTGACGTTTTCTCATTTCCTCTCGTTTTTATTCTCGTTTCCTCTCTAAATTCCTTATACTTTCTCTTTATTTCCATCTTCTGGATCCAACTTCAACACGTAACGCCCTGTCAAAAATTAAATTCCGGCTAGCGCCGCGTTATTGTGGGATGCTCCATATAAATTTTATAGGCATGAGGATCTTTCACAGTTCCTTGGCGCTTGACGCGCCAATTTAGGGATGGCAGTTAGCGCTGACAGTTTGTTAGATGCCAGGGAGATACTTCGTTCTTATTATCTTCTTTAACATCAGATTAAAAAACTCACACGGCATAAAGGCAACTAAATACTCTTCGTTCTGTTCATGCTGTTTTGATATCCACAAAAAGATGGTGTGAGTCGACCGTAATCTCGCAGGTCTTTTCTAATATTTTGCTTATAGAGAATACCTGTCCTAAAGCCGCACTGATAAGGCCCAATCAGATCTTCAGCGGCGGTATGTGGGGAACGATAAACGATTGATTAGTGGTCTCTAAGAGTCCCAGCGCATCTTTTGGCTGCCGTTACAGTTACAGTTCCTCAACGTCGGGCTTTCCTTGTACATTAATACGCACGTTATTTGCTGCACAGATGCGTATGCGTATCTTGCCAGCCGAATCGATGTTAGGTCCTCGGCGAATTTACATTTAAAACAGTGGAATCATTCCTTCTGTCTATCACAACATCCGATTCGAAATTTGGTTTTCGAATCATACGTATTTTATTTAACACAGTTGAAACGTGCCTTACGTCCATCCCAACATCATAATTTAGATTTTCTTGTTTCAAACCAGTGACAACCACGTAGCTTGGTGGAGCTTCTTATGCTGGAAACTGGTGATAGAAACTAAAATATTTTGGGTCCAGCCTTAATTCCGACACCGAATTTTCCCTCCTTTAAAAGGAAGCTGTAATAGACGTCGGAGGGCCCTGTTGTTTTCCTACTTTGCGCGGTCCAAGGCCCCAAATCTTAGTCCTTAAAACGTTTGCAGGCGTCGTCACCCCAAAAGGGGTCTCATTTGGGCTATTCATTGGCGTTTTTTTACGTGGCGGGTCCCAAGGGCAGCGTACAAACCATTACTGGGGAGGTTTGGCTCGCTTACAAATGGATGTTCGGCTGATGTAAACACCAGAGTTCGTGAGCTGAATAAACCGGATGCAAAATAATCTTTTTTGACCACTCCTTGGTGCACCCGGAACCATCGAAGTTTCCATAGTTTTAAACAATTTTACAACCAGTGACGATCAGGGGGTGCACCCGATGCCTCAATGCTTGACTTTCATTATATATTATCAAAACTGTCAGAAAATTCAAACGGATAATTATCAATTGTGTTCTTTCATCATTCATTCTTTGTAAACGTTTGTTCGTATTGAATAAAGTCAGTCGTTAAGTAACATTCAAAACCCTCGGAACTTTAGGTAATGCCCCAGCGCCCGAGAGACTGTGAACGGTGAAAAATAAAGTGAAGTTTATCAGTTTATCAAAACTGATCTGGGGAGTTACGTAGATGGCTCTATCGCGAAGCCTACGGATGAGGCAATACTCATCGAGTGGAAAATTGCTGATCAAAAGGTATTAGCGGACATACGTTCGCAACAACAGAGCTAGGGATAATTTCAAAATGCAGCAGTCCACGTGAAATTCGGTTAAGATTGGAATCGATATTCCAATCCAAAGGGCCAGATAGAAAAGCGGTAGAAACGTTTAAGTTGGCGACGAGCTGCTAGCAATCTTGTTGTTGAATAGTCTGCCAGCGTCGTATGAGCGGTGAAAACGCGATACGATTTGCCGAAGCGCGTGAAAATCCTCGAAGAATATGAGTCGGGAAAATCAAAAAAGGACAAAGTGGACTATAATGTGCTTTACACAAAGAAAAGGCTAAATCAATCGTAGGTTGGTCGGAATTCGGGGAATTCGAAACAAGGAAAAAACTTCTATCGGTGCGACAAGCCGGGTCATTTCACGCGAAATTGTCCAAGCAAACCACAAAAACAAAATACGCGTATAAAAGAAGAAGAAAACGAAAAGCAACCAATAATTTTTACCAAAAAAAAACCAAACCAACTTCAATTCTCATATAAAAAAAAAATGTATATATATATTTCATGATCCAATGATCAGATCTAAACCAGATTAGTATGAGACCACCTCTGAGACACTACCTTCCCGATGCAAAAAGAATTATCGTAATTGGTTGACGTGGTACATAAAAAAGAATATTCCGGCGAACTGATAACCTCCTACTTTTTTGGAAGTCGGTTAAAATGACATTAAATACACTGGGAAAAGCATTTGCAGTCCCTTGTTATAAAAAAAGAGAAACGTGTTTTTTTATTTTGAAAAAAAGTGACCTTTAAGCGCTGGTCGGCTTTTTATAAAAACGCTGATGTTCCCCATTTTTTTATTTTCTTGACATGTTAAAATGCAGCTAAAAATGTGATTTTTACATATAATTACTCTCGTATTATTGGGGAACATTCCCTTAATTACATACCTGTCTTGGGTAGTTAGAATGGGCCTAATGCCGAGTTTCAGCCCTTGACAATGCTTAAAGCGTTCAGTATCCACGTTTTAATTTTAGTATTTTTTTTTTAATTTGATAGCCATACTGGATCCGCCATTTTGAAGTAAACAAAATTTACTTCAGGTTCGTAATCGGCGACCCCAAAAACTATCGAGTACCGGTTTTCGAACAAATCCAATCATTAAAAAAAAATGGATCGCCATTTTGGATCCGCCGTTTTGAATTTTGAAAAAGTGACTTCAGATTCCTAATAAGCAAAACCCAGAAACCCCCTGGTAACAAGCTCCAGCCCATAACAATGCGCAAATCGTTCAGTATCAACGTTTTGATTTTACTAGTCTCTTTTCGAGAGAATATTTTCGGGAACTATGCCCATTTTAACTGTCCAAGATAGGTGTGTAATTAAGGGAATGCTCCTCAATAATGCCAGAGTAATTATATGTAAAAACCACATTTTAGCTGCGTTTCAGCGTTTTTATGAAAAACCGACCAGCGCGACCTCTAAAAAAACTTTTTTTCAAAAAAAAAAAAAATACGTATCTCTTTTTTTTATCACAAATAACAATATTCTGATGTAGCGTTTATGAATTTCCAAAAATAGTGGTTTTATGAACCACTCTACTACATAGTCTTAAATATTAATTCTATTCTAGGCTCAAGTTCGGCCTGGTGGAACGAAGTTACATGCACTGGACTATTTTCGCTTGGGTTGGGACTATTCTTGCTTGCACTGAATTGCCTAATTAGTCGCAAAGAGGAAGAAGATCTCGAAGACTATGTGCAAAGGCAATTAACCAGATCAAGATCTGGCCATCGTCTGGAACGTGATGTAGAAACGGGTGTTCTTACCACGCGTCATGCACGCAAAGCTGTGGCACTACAAAAGAACTTGCGCAATGGAGCTGCCACTGATGTTGCACTAGTCAACAGTACGTCGGCGGAAGAAGTAGCAAATGGTCCGTTGACAGGACACAACTGTTAGTGTGCTAATAGTATTAGAAAGTATTAATTCTTAAGTCGGACTTAAATATTTTGTTGCATTCCATTTTCTTTCGATAGGTTTAGCCAATACCGGTGATATAGTGCTCGAAAAAATTGTGGAGGAGGATAATACGTACATAAACGATCGAAGCTCTGGCATATCGCCAATGGAGATTGAGAATGACACAAAACAATTGCTGAGGAGGGAATCATTAAATGAAACAATCAATATAACACGAATATAAAAATTAATGAATTAGACTTAGATATTTATTAAAAAATTACTTTAATATTTTACTACTTATTATGAAGACTTTTATTTAAACTTAAGCCTTTAAACTATAAGTGAAGTATTTAAATTGAAATATGAAAAAGTTCAAGAAAAATCCCATATGACCGTATTTTTTATCAAATGTCTTTTATAAGAATTTTCGTATTTGCATGTATACCTAATATTAATCAAATTTGTAAATCGAGTAATCATACATAGAAACATACAGTCTAGATTATTGCCCAATGAAAAACTAAATATTGAATGTAGTCAAACATAAAAAATAACAAATCGGATTATTAGTACATACAAAATTTATCATGAAACCTTACAAAGGATATCGTCACCCTTATGCCAGAAGCATAAATGTGCAAATTTATCAGTTTTGAGTTATTGGGTTGACTTTATTAAGCTTTGGATGTTATACCAAAACCCAGAATATCATGCGTGACCGGAAACCATATATTTTACAATTTGAATTGCATAAATGTAGAGTTAAGTCTCGTAAAAAAAAAACTTTCAAACCTGATTTCCCAAAAATTTTCATTTTTACAACGCTTTTTTACATATTCATGTTTCTGACGTTTGGGCGACGATATTATATATAGGTATGTATGTGTAGGTACTACATATTGCACTTGGACTTCATATGCCATTAATCACAATTTAATATACGTATGTATGATTCCTAAAATAGCACTTCAAAGCAAAACCCAATTAGTTAAATACTTATGTATGTATATTGTATGTGAATACGCATATGGATGTATGTACATATAATAAACGTATTATGTGTATTTATACATACGTACGAACATAAAGGAGGGTTTACAATGTCAGCGTAGAGTTAAACGTGGTTTTACTGAATCTTTCTTATGTTCAAAATATGAATGTAGAGTGAACTTATGACATAAATAAGTGGTTTTCGAAACTCCAATAGAACTGAGACTTTACTCCTACAGAATTGAAGTGTTCACAGTTCGTTCCAAGATAAGTTCCAAAATGTTCACATCAACATTTTGTAATTTTTAGTAGTCGTAATATCCGTTGTGTTATTGTTTTCCATACAAAATCGTAAAACGACGCCCCACAGGTTTTCCCTTCCATATAAAATGTGGCAAAAAATAGAATTATGGACGGTTTTAAATGAAAATCTGTATCTTAGTAAGATTTTTTTTTTGATATATTATATTCAAATTATTCAATAAGTTACAAAAATTACTACATTATGAATATCAATCGGAATGGTTTTGAAAAGGCTTTACTTCTAAACTGCACGTAGGAGGGTTGCAAGCAGTTTAGAAAGTTAAATTAAACTAAACTTGAATTAGGGGTAATAGCTGAAATACAATGCCGGCGAACGGCGAACTCACCACAGCGAAATTCGCGCTGTCAAAATTAGAACACCCGCAAGCATATGAAATTGAACACAGCCAAAGCGAAATGCGAAGTTCGCTTGGCGGCGTTTCATGGCGATAGATTTATTTCTATCGCCCTGCTGGGCGATGACAGCTGTGCGTGCCAAAGGTGGCCGTATTTGTTTTTTGCTTTCAAAGTTTTAAAAGAAAACAACCTAAAAACGATTTTTTTTTGTTGTTTGAAAAATATAGTTGTGGATTCGATAAATCTGGCTTGAAACAAATTATTTATAATAATCTTTTTTTTGTTTTACATTTATATTTGTTATCATTTCCTCATTTCTAAATATGGTTTAGTTTTTTCTAAATATGGTCACCCAAATTATAAAGGCGACCAAATGGGATCAGCTGTTTTCGCTACCGCTCTAATTCTGTTTAAGTAGGCGAAATAGCTGGGCGAACGGTGAACGATAGCATCGCCCAATTCGGCGAAGTTTGCCGTTCGCCGGTATTGTATTTCAAGCATAATATGTATCACTATATCTGTGTCAGACGAAAGAGGTTTAAGAAGGGTTTACCTTGAAAATATTTTGAAGAAGATTGTTACTGGTTTGTAAAAACGAATTTAAATAAATTAAATTAAACTATACAGAATTTTTGTGTGTATACGAATTGTTAAAACATGTACGTTAATCCAAAGAAACGGATTTGAATCCCCTAAACTCTCCCTAGATACCGCCCTGTCATACATATGAGCAAATCTCACGAGTTGTTACGTTTTTCGACAAAAACGTGTTCATGGTCAAAAATGGTGGCACACTTATCTTAGACCATTGTCTTTTGTTTTGCATAAAGAACAAAATTGTTTTTAAATGAAAACCTAAACAAGTAAGAAAGGCTAAGTTCGGGCGGAGTCGAAAATTAAATACCCGGCGCAAGTATTAATGATTTGTTTTTCACCTTTCTGAAAGCTACCGTTACATGGTAAGCCGGTGTGTATCAATTTTGAGTAAATTAGCGTCCTTAAATTTCGAAATATTGAAGTTTCAAGCAGTTCTGACATTTACCGTTTTATGAAAAGCGGCCGTAATTTTAGTCCGATTTCAATAATTTTCAACGTTTTGCTTCTATGTGGGCAAGCACAATAACCACACCGAGTTTGGTACAAATTGGTATAACGGTTACCGAGATACATATATGTGATCATAAGTGGGCGTGCCACGCCCATTTTCCAAAATTTTATCATAAACGTATTTCTTGGGAAAGAATTGTTGCAAGCATCAATTTTGAATAAATTAGCTTTAATATTTACTGATTTATCGAAGATTTCGTATTTCTCTAAATTACCGTTATACGGGATGTGGGCGTGGTTATTGTCCGATTTTAAAAATTTTCGGCCATTTCGAATGCTATACCAAGGCCAACAATTGTGCCAAGTTTGGAAGAAATTTGTGCAGTGGTTACCAAGATATACACATGTAACCATAAGTGGGCATGGCTACGCCCATTTTCCAAAAATTTTTAATATTCTTATTTTTCGTCTAAAATGTATTGTAAATATCAATTTTGAGTGAATAATCTTCGCTAGTTACTAAAATATCACAGTTTTCGCATTTCTGAAAATTACCGTTATATGGGAGGTAGGCGTGGTTATTGTCCGATTTTGCCCATTTTCAATACCATCCGTCCTACGCCCGAAGGAAGTGCACGTACCAAGTTTCGTTAAGATATCGAAATTTTTACTCGAGTTATCGTGTGCACAGACGGACGGACGAACGGACGGACGGACAGACAGTCACCGTTTAATCGATTTCTCTTTTCATTCTGATCATTTATGTATACATTTGTCTATATCTATCTCGATTCGTTTGCCTGTTACAAACAACCGTTATGTGAACAAAGTTATAATACCCTTGTGCACAAGTGCGCTCGGGTATAAAAAGATATACATACATACTAAAAAGTCAAAATAACAACTCGTGCTCATATAGCCGTAGTTGTGTATTTAACGTATACGTCCCGTAGCACCATACACAGTCAAATAACATGTTTACTCGCACGCCTTAACTTAAAAGTCATAGGCCCATAGTCAATGTCGTTAGTAAAATTTATTCTTATTAAAATAAAGTTTTAAGCTTAGAATAGATTTTTAAGTTGTATCAATCATAGACATCTTAGAACAGTTTTTGTTAAGTTGAGAGAGAACAGCGCTATCCATATGAAGAGAAAAAATTTACTCGGCAATGGAGTACTTTACTTAGTTCATCCTGTGTCCGCTGCAGGATTGCGGATTAAGTAAGCCGGGAAGTCGTGGGTTCGAATTCCATTGCAAGGAAACATTTTTTTACATGTTTTTTTGTTCCTTTGGATATTATTTTTTTTTATGTATGCTATAGTTGTTGTGCCATTTTTAATTAAAATTAAACTCCAAAAAATTTTATTAACTTGAAACAATTATGTGAAATACCATAAACAAAAGAAAATGATAAAATAAAATTTAATACAATAAAATTTAATAAAACAAAATAAAATAATGTTTATATTAAAAAAAAAATACTCAACTTAGAAAAACATTATTTGGAATCGCTCGGAGTGGGGACCGAACGTGGGTGTTATTGCGTTTACTACTTCAACAACAAAACTTAGAACTTTATTTTACCATTTTAAAATCGCGTCCTCCTCATTTAAAAGTTTTTGCCATCAAATGAATTTTAAGTTGACTATGAAAGAGTTCAAACGGTGATTACTGTAAAACACAATTTTAATCGTTAAAAAAATAGCCTACGCACCTGGCTATGCTTTGATTAAAATTCTTAGTATTAAATTTGTTAAATTTAGTGGCTTCCTGGTGGTTTATAATTAAGTTTATAGAGAAGGATTGCTCTTTTGGAATACAGTCGGGACACTTTTTTATTTTTATTCCAAATTTTGTATTCTTAAAATTCTGTAATAATACATACATATGTACATGGAAATAAATAAATTGGTAGTTAAGTTAAAAAATTAAAATTTTATAAATATAAATTGTAAACGAAATTGCCGAATTGGCATAAAGAAGGAAGGTCTGGCACAATCAGTAAAGTTTTGCGACGATTAAGCAACGATTGCTGGAAAAGAACACTCAAGGCAACATTTTGTAACTCATTTTGGAACGAACTGTGAACACCTCAAATAACTCTTCAACAAAATTACACTCAAGCTGACATTCGGAGTTGGACACCGAAGCTTGGTACTCGGTAACTCGGTGTTCGGTATTTTTTCCCCATGTATTGTGTTTGTGTAAACGCTCCCTGAAACGAGAAAAATAATTTCAACACTCGAATTGCGTAATAATTGCTGCAAAATTTACAAATAGAATTATCTTTGCAATTCAACTTAATTAAATAATTTAGAATGGAAACGAAAATAAAACAAAAAAAAATAATAACACATATTTGCACAATTCAATGAAAAGACTTTTAAGTAAAGCTAAATGTATAATAAATAAATGTAACCTAATATACTTAGTCTATACTTATAACTTTATTTAAAGGATACATACATATATATTATATAGTAATTGTACATATAAATATATTTTATATCGCTCTGGGCAAAATTGAAATACCTATATATGTACATAGTAGGTAGTAGTTAAACCTACTAAAACTTTATATTTCTGCTTGCGGTACTTACGAGTATTATTTACGAAAATATCAGCCTCAGTGCATTACTAGCTTAAATGGCCAATGAAGGGTTGTGTTTATATATTTTTTCTATAAATTAAGATCAAAAATTTTTCGTTGCTGTTTGATGTTTTTTTAGTCCGCAGGCGCAGTTACCTTTATTTATGTTTTAA